TTGCCGCTTTTAGGAATGGAGTTTTTCCGATTGGTTTGGGTTGTCCCATGCACTGTATTTGGCATCAGATTGCTGGCACACGCTTGCCAGTGATGTTACCTGACCGAAAACTTGAAAGAGCACTGAATGCATAAATGCCATTCATTCATTTAAGCGATAAGGAGACATTTGACTTTGGAAAGATGGAAATCTCACTGAAGCCTACATCCTGCATGTATCTGTCTGAGGAGTGGGCAGGATCTATCCATCAGGATGACCTAAACATCATCATTGTCTATATTTTAAGTTTTCTCCCCCTGTTTATAAACAGGAAATATTTTTAAAAATACAAAATGATATAAAAGCAGTACACTACTCTAGGAAGATGTAAACCATTTGCGGCTCTTAAAAGCCAGCCAAATCCAGGTGCAGTAATCTCTGTTCTAGGACAAAGAGAACCCCCAAAGCTACCTTTTAACCAAAGGAGCACTAACCGAAACAGCGACATTTTAAGGTTTAAAAGATAATTAATTGCAAGAGGGTCAAATGCATTTCCTTGGGTGGGGGAGAGACTTCCACTGCTGAAAACTTTGGAGTGGCCAAGGAACAGAATTTAGAACATAGACTGGGACCTGTCTTGATCCTCAGTGTTTGGGGTCCCCCTTGCAGGAGATGAAGTTGGTGTCCACTCCGATGGTACAAAGGGATTTTGCATCTTTTTGCTTTCCCATGTGTAAGTGCACGGCAGCTGATTATTCTTGGTGTGTTTCAGGATTTTGTTTCCTTGCGAAATCTTAAAGAGGTTTTGGAGCTGGAGAGCTAAGAAACCCCTTCGCCCTGTATTTCTTTATTTCATTTCTATAGCAAAGTGCTTTGGGCAGTTCACAGTCCAAAGCTTAAAAACATAAAAGACAAATGCATTAGCAAACCCTAATGTAACAACCCAGCATTTAAAATTGAACGCAACCAAAGCAGGAGCAAAGATAAAAGCCAGGTGCAAGGTCTAACAATGGACCAGAGTGCTGGAAGGGCAAAAAATTGGAGGAAATAAGGGCTTCTTCACCTGGCACTGAAAAGAGCACAAAATTGGTGCCAGGAGAGTCTCTCTGAAGAAGGCATTCTACATCCAGGTTGCCACCACCAAAAGGTCTGCCTTGCACACTCCTGTCCATTCATTCGGGCCACTCCACACACGCATGTGCCCACACACTCACACCCCTGACCTGAGGTGCAGCTCCTAGCCACGTCTGCCCCCCGAGGCATTCTGGGCTGGAACTCCTGCTTTTTGGAAGAACCTGCCTCAGGAGACCCTCCACGCTCTCCCAGGTGGTGTTCGGCCTCAATATGGGATGTTTTTGTGTGTGGCTGCAGAGGAAAGAGTTAAAGGGATCAGAGAGGCTTTGTTTTGGGGATGGTGCGGAAATGTGCTGCGGGGGGCCATACTGGTGAGGGGGAGAGCAAAGGAAGGCAGAAACAAAAAGGGGCAGAGGTTGTGGAGACAGCCAAGGCCAAGGCACGACCTCCAAGTGGGAAGCGCCTTGTGTTTTTCACTTGCAGCTTTGCCCCGCCTTTCCGCCAGGAACTGTGGGCTGTGCACAGTGCTGGCCACTCCACTAAGTTGGGGGAGTTGTACTCCATTGCCCGCAGCTGAAAATCTCTATTTCGCAGGGTCTCCTGACCTCATTCCCAAGTATCTGAAGGTCTTCCTGCACTTCAAGGATTCCAGGTGGCTTTCCACAGCCTGATGGGTTGGGCATCCCCAGTTAGATCACAGCCCTGCTGGTGGAGGATGCTGGGAGTTATAATTCAGGCTGAGGAAGAATCATGCATCCCAGCCAGTCGTTTCAGAACAGTTGTCATTTGACATGGTGAGCTTGACAGACTGGAGTTCAAGCATGAGGCTTTTAGTTTGAAGAGGTGATTCCCTCCTGGCTTCAGGCTAGACAGTTACACAAAACAGAAAGAAAGAAGAACCCATTCAAGTGAAGGCTACCATTGTAAAAAGGAGCAATTAGAGATCTGTTGATGTTTCTTTCTGGGTGCCAATTGTTTAGGGGTTTTTCCCAGAGCTGCTAGATCCAAGGACAAGGTGTTCAGGAGTGTGTGAAAGGGGCACAGCGAGGTCAGGGCGGCTCCATTTCACTGCCAAGCAAGTTGATTCATGCACTCAGGTGCCCAACGGATTCTATGTGTGATGGATGTCCTACGACAAACCCCAGAGCTCTTCTAATTAGCGGTGTGGCCATGGGGGGTTGCCCTGAAATAGGTCTGCAGGGGTGGGGTGCAGCAGAGTGGAATGGCAGGTTCCCACCCCATTTTCCTAAGTTGGCTGAGTTTGCCCAGTTTTTCGTTCCTGGCATCTCTGTTTCCCTCTCCTCTGCCAGCTGCTTCCTCCCCAGTCTTTCCACTCAGAACTCGAGTTCAGCTCCAAACTCAGAGCCCTGTCTCCATCCTTGGAGATGGAAATCCAGACAGTCCTACAGCCTATAAATTGGCAGGGATTGCATATAAAACTATTACCTACACAAATAGATTTAAATCTAGATTTGTGTGTGTGAAAATACTTAAAAATATAGAGACCTGCATGTATAAATGCCAACATGCTATCATGTTAAATATTGGAGGGGCGAACTGGTGCCAGTAATTGCCATATAGGAAAACAAAACAAGAAGTAAGATATGGTAGCGGAGCTGTGTGTTACCAGAAAGAAGGAAACGGCATGTTTTCAGAATTTATATGGATTGCAGAATTCAGCTTTTCTTAGTGCAGGATTTAGATCTTTAAGGTGGAGGGTGCTGGGATTTTCCTTGGGAAGAGTACCTCTAATTCTAAAGTATTTGTTAAAGAATTACACTGTAATTGTTATCCTGCTATTGTATGTACTGTGTTTTTATTATTTGAATCCATGTTAGCTTTGCTCATAAGCTGCCTCGAATGCCATTTTTTGATTGAAGGGTGGGATACGAAGTGAATAGCTAACAAGATAAACAAATTAATGGGGTTTAGGGTGCCTGTCACAATAGGTTGAGGGAGGCTTCCTTCTCTTCTGTGACTTCCCCTCCCCATATTTCTGTCTGTCTTTCTCAGCTTCCTCCCCACCCCAGGTTTGAATATAAAAGAAAAGTAAAATGAAAAACTCTGGGCAGAGACAAGTTTATAAGGGGGAAACCTTTTTATGTGAGAAAGTCACCCCCGTGTGGTGTCACCCCCATGTGGGGAGTATGCTATTGGATCTGACTTGGTCGACTGTTTCCTACTGCCTTTTTTATACATAAGGCTCAAATGAAGCTATAACAAAGCCAAATTATAGCATGCCACTTGCAGAGAAGTGGCCAAACTTCTCTGGCTGCAACTGCAAAACAAACGCTGAGAACTTGTAGCATTAGAGGTTGTTGTCTTGCAAGCCACTCTCGAAGCATCGAATAGCTCTGCTTCAGGGAATGCCTTAGATGCCGCCAAGACGTGAGGGAATCCATGCCTGCAACAGGCGAGCAAGGCTGTGCCTGAATTTTGCTTCAGGGAACTGTCCAGCAAAATGCCTCCTGAAACCTCTATGGATAGCCTCATATCCCAGTGGTGCGAAGGGTGAAAGGCACATCCAATCAAAGGAAGCCTCTTTCTTCACTGATGGTGCCCAGTCTTAGTAGAGGCTGGGAGGGGATGCCCCGGGTGCCTTTAAATCCATGTGCTACTCGACTGCATTCTCATCTCCTCTTTGGGACACCTGGAGCAGCTGCAGCAGGGCCCAAATCCTGAGAAGCTGCATTTGTAAACGTGCCATCATGGAATCTGCCACCTTCAAGTGTCACCAATAACTTGTTCCGACTGAAATGGCCAAGCGGTCTTCTTGGAATCAGCTCTCCCACACTCTCCGCCCTCCAGATGTGTTGAACTCCAGCAGCAGCAGCAGCAGCATCATGACCAGAGATGATGTGAGGCATAGTCCAACACTCAGGGAAGGTGCCAGCCTGGGAAAGGCGCTTCAGTGGGTGCTTGATCAGGCCATGTTCGGAAGGCACCCAGCACAGCCGCCTGGCTGAAGCGAAGCAGGTCTGTGGCTGGTCATTGCCTGGATGGGAGATGGCCCTGGAAGCCAAGACTGCAAGAGCACCTCCCCTGCACCTGTGCAGCTCTCGCTCTTTGCCTCTGGTGGGCAGACTTCCTGGAAACCCCACTCCAGGCTACGGGCAAGGGGCATTCCGTGACCGGTGGTGCTTTCCCCCTGTTCTCTCCTTTGGCCAGAGGTTGACAGATGGTCACAGACTAAGCCCTTGGCTGGCTGCCGCTTGAGGACTTGCTACCGACTTCAGTCCCAGTGGTGGAAATGGGCTCAGCTGTGTAGCCAGCACGGTGTCACGCTTGGAGTGTCAGGCAAGGAGTGGAAAGACTCAGATGCAGGCCTGGCAATGAGGGTTGACGTTCCTGGGCACTTGACTTGCTCAGGGGCCACGGGCTTCTGCAGAGGCTCCGGAAGAGCTCCGTGGACTTGTCCCTGCTCCTCCCCCTCGCAGCCTGCTAGTTCACATGCCTCTTCCTCTGGTCAGGTGATGGAGACGGTGAGAAGGGGAGCGGGAGATGCTGCGGCCCACCTGTGCACTGTCTCTCTGTTTCCCGAGAACGATTGGTGGTCCTGGCAGTGAGAAGGTCAACTTGCTGTGAGAGGGAGGCCATCAAGGGTGACTTGCCCTGGGCAGTGCCTTGAGCTGGCACTGCCCACATTCCGATTGGCCAAGGAGCTCGCTGGGTGACTTCCACCCAGTCTCTTTATTACAGTCTAACTTACCCCTCAGCATTGCCCTGAGGGTCAACGCAAGGAGTGGGATCGAATGCACAAGGCCCCCAGAGTGGCTTGGAGGAAGGCTGGAATCCAAATGCAGTGACTAATTGCCCGTGAGCAAGACACTGTCTCTCAGTTTGGCCTACCTCTAGGGTTCCTGCTGCTGAAGAGAGGGTGGGGCTCAAGGGAACACACCAGCCTTCCTTTCCAGACAGGTGTGATGTTCTGTTTCTGTGTTTTGCAGATGTCACAAAGCCCTTTGTGGAGCTCCACTCCCATCATCCTAAGCTCATCTACGTTCACAACAGCACCGACACGATTGTCATACCTTGCAGGGTCACCTCGCCGGAGATCAAGCCCAGGTTGCTGCTGGTGAGTGCCACGCGTTCTCGGTCTCATCTCAGATGGGTGCCACAAGGACTGTAACCAGGTGTTTTTGATATTATTGTTATTTGGTGCTCCCAACTCAATAACGCAATCTCAGAAGACTTCCACACACAAACTGAACAGCACAGTCCTCTCAGTTGGCCCTTCTCTTCCGTGCTGCAACTGAGATGGATTTTCCTCCACATTTCTCCTCTGAATCCTTGTGTGCTAATTTTTTTGTTGAACATTCTCCAGGAAGTCTCAAAATGTCAACTAATCACTAAATGTTAAATGCATGTACTTAATGTTCTGTTACATTTGATCTCAGTGTTTGGCAGTTGTTATTTGGCATAACTTAGTGAGCTGACCTATAATGGCCCCGAGTTTCTGAAAGCATGTGATACATGATATTCAGAGGTGTGTACAGACCATCATCTCTGATGGGTGACAAATTTCAATAATATTTGTTTCCTGCCCAAACCATCCAGAGATGGCAAGAAGTCTGAACAGTGCAAGCCTATACATGATTACTCAGAACTGAGCCCCACTAATTCAGTGGAAAAAACAAGACCAGGAGCTGACTGTGGCTCAGATCATGAGCTTCTTGTTGCAAAATTCAGACTTATACTGAAGAAAGTAAGAAAAAGCACCAGGCCATTCAGGTATGACCTAAATCATTTTCCTTATGAATATACAGTAGAAGTGACAAATAAATTTAAGGAATTAGGTTGATAGAGTGCCTGAAGAACTATGGACGGAGGTTTGCAACATTGTACAGGAGGTAGCAACTAAAACCATCCCAAAGAAAAAGAAATGCAAGAAAGCAAAATGGCTGTCTGAGAAAGCTTTACAAATAGCTGAGGAAAGAAGGGAAGCGAAAGGCAAGGGAGAAAGAGAACGATACACCCAATTGAATGCAGAATTAGCCTGGAGGAATGTTGTCCATGGGGTCATGATGGGTCAGGCACAACTCTGCGAATAAACAACAACAAAATGCAGTGGGGCCTGCTCCCAGATGAAAGCATAGGATCACCACCATAGGATCACCACCATACATATAGGATCACCACCAAAAGCACTCCAGTTTCAATGGTCAAGGTAAAATCTCACACACCTCAGCAGGGAACAGATTGCTTGTCATGGACCACCCTACTCAAGCACACACACAATTCTGCATTAACAACCTCTTCAGCTTTGCAGAAACATTGACTGAAAACCTCCCTGTCACCGTTGGCATATAGTGAATGGTGCTTCATCTTCCTATTGGCCTGTAGCCTCTGTGAAATCCTACAACGCTTTCTCATGCCAGTGCAGACAGCAATCAACAATCGAGTTCAGTGGCTTATTTTTAGACGCTTAACCTCCCCAACCTGGCTTGGTGTCAAACTTCTTCCTGCTCATGTCCTGGCACTGAACAGAAGGACCTCCTCCTCCTGGCTGACTCTTTGGATGGATGAATGAATCTTTCCATTTAGAGCGACTGAGAAAGATTTCCTTCTTCCTCTTTTGAAGGAGACAGATGGGGTGGGCCAGGGCAGGGGCGGAATTCATACATGAAAAGGAAGGTGAGGAGAAACAACTCCAGTAAAGAGGATGAGCCCTCCTCGTGAAGGTGCGTGTTAAGCTTGGGAGCCCAGGGTTCTCTTCCCATTTAAGGAAACAGCACTTGTTGTTTTGGCCTTGTCTGGAAATGTTATGTGGAGCCACGCTGGCTGTTTCCTTTGCTCAGAGGAAGTCCAGGGGGCAGGGGAGGAAGGAGCCAAATGATCAGACAAATTTAGAACATCCTCTTCCAAAATTAATAACTGATTGGTGATAATGCTGCAGGAAGGAAGAAAAATAACACAAGGTCTTTTTAAGTGACTGGGTAGACTGGGCCCTCTTTTTCCTCTTTTTAATAAGCAATTATTTTTTATGTTGTACGCAGAACTTTAATATGTGGGACCATCTGAAATATATACACACACGTACTGCTTCCAACTTTTCTGACTGTTAGGGGATATTCAGATACAGAGCCATAATATTAAACTTTATTCAATTTTATTATTCCTGTAGCAACGTACTTTTCCCCCATAAATTACATTTCTTATGTTTCCATTATACTTTAAAATGACTGCACTCCATACCCTTTAAATATTTATGGGAAAGTGCACAGGCAGCTAATACTAAAAAGATCCCAACTCCCCATGTCGGCTGAATCAAATTAGTAGCTTCGGTTGGGCTTGAAATACAAGCTTTTCAAAATTCCTCCCCTCCCCATTTAAATTAGCACTGGAGAAAGCCGAGAGGGTCATAAGTCTCCATGGGGAGGAACCAGCCAAAAAGGAGGATACTGTGAAGTTGCAGTGTGCTGCCTGGCTCCATGGCACTCCACCATGGAAAGGCACATGGAAAAATGCAAGAGAAAGGCTGATCCGTAGAGGATTGCATGCTTCATACACAGAATGTTCCAGATCCAACCTCTGCCTCCTCCATTCTGAAGCATTGGCGAACAGGGGAGGCAAAAAGAAACTTTTTCTGCCTTGGGCCCCATAAGCAAGCTCTTGCCCGGGACACAGATCTCTGCCATCCAAGATCACCTTGTGGACTGGCTCTGGATGGGTGAGAACATTTCAGAGCCCAGTGACACAGCCATGGTGAGCGTCTACATCGTGCAGTTCAGGGGGCTCCCACAGGGGGAGCAATTCCTAACAGGCTGACACCCTGGAGGCCAGTGCAAGGCCCTGGTCCCAGTCTGAGTGACACAGTGCCTGTAGCTTGCATGTAGACCCTCCCCCCATGATTCTGTGGCCTCCACACCATGACAGAAAGGAGCTTTCCTTTCAAACAAGGCATGTGTGATGTGGACGCCTCATTGCAGTGCAAACACACCCTCCTAGAAGTAACCAGGAAACATGATTTTGCTTTATAGCCAGGTGCATGCTCCTTCATGCTTGGTTGTGAAGGAAAATGAGTGGTTTTGGCTGCAAATTCAGTAGCACAGCAGCAATTCTGGGGAGGGGGCAGCCCTTGCTGGGACCAGAGAGGAATTGGCCCTGGACCAGTGGAAGTTGTCCACCCACCACTGCCCTTCAAGGGCCATGAAGGCTAAGATAACCTTGAACCAATAACAGGGAGAGAAGGCGTATGTTGGAGCACAATGCATGGAGAACATTCGCAAACCTTGATGGGCAAGGTGATCGCAACTACTGAGAGTTTCTGCATGGTCCCTTTTAAGGCCGCAAGTTACAGTGTGGAGTTGCTTCCCCATGTACCAACAGAAGCATTTAGTCACTGAAATCTTATTCCGGCACAATGGCAAGGAATTCCCTACCCAGATGACTCTGTGGGGGTGGATTCATGGCCTCCTCTCACTCAGCCTGCTCAGCTTCCAGTCAGCTATGAGCAAACCGCTGCTGCCGCCACACCATTGGAAGAAAGTTTGCATCCTGCTTGCATCCTGTGCTGCCTCAGGCCAGGAATTCTTGAGTGCCAGGCAGAGCTTCTGCTGCCCAAGTGCCTTTTCTGATAGAACAGTGGCTAATAAATCAGCTAGACAGACAGTCCAGGAGGGGCACCATCTCTTATCTGGTCCTCCTTTTCGTCTTCTGCCTTTGACTTTCCCAAGCATGATTCTCTTCTCCAGGGAGTCTGGCTTTCTCATGATATGTCCAAAGTATGACAGCTTCAGTTTTGTCATGTTTGCTTCTAGGGGAAGCACTGGCTTGATTTGATTTGATGTGATTTGATCTGATCTCAGGCCCACTTGTTTGTCTTTCTGTCAATCCAAGGTATTTGCAAAGCTCTCCTCTCACAGCAATAAATATAATTTTAAAAAAATCACATGCAAAACCTGCTGTGATTATGCTGCTGAGTGGGAGAAAGCTTGGAGTTACTTGGGGTGGATTTTGGGGCTTGAAGGAGCCATTCAAGCTTCCATGTAGCCTGAAGTGCCTGACCCTGCCTAATCTTGGAAGCTAAGCAGGGTCAGGCCTGGGCAGAAGTGGGATGCGTGACTTGAAGGTATGATTATTGCTGTCAACTGCCTAGAGAGCTTTGGCTATGGGCAGTATAAATTATTATTATTATTATTATTATTATTATTATTATTATTATTATTATTATTCAATTCTTGTGCTCAGAACAAATCCCTGGGTTCAGGATGCTCTCATTCCCAGCGTGTATCTTTTGCATCTGGCTCTGGGTGCGGTGGAGTGCCACCGAAAGCCAAGTAGATCTTGCAAGCCTGGAGTCTGCTTGCTTCTGTGTTAGGGTATGCTCGTTACATGTGGTAGAGTCCAAGCTCTACCTTCCCTTGAGGACATTGCAATATCAGTGCCAACATTTAGGGGAGGCAACAAATAATCTTCTGTATAAACTTCTCCAGTGGCTAAGATCTCTGCATGACACCCAGTTCAGAGTCAATCTTGCATGGAGGCCTTGTTTGCCTCTGTGAAGCAGGACATTTTCCATTACTGCCCCCTAGCTAGCATACTAAAAAGCAGAGACATCACCCTGCCAAGAAAAATGCGTATAGTCAGGGCTATGGTTTTCCCAGTTGCAATGTATAGCTGTGAAAGCTGGACCATAAGGAAGGCTGAGCGCCAAAGGACTGAGGCCCTTGAATTGTGGTGCTGGAGAAGACGCCTGCGAGTCCCTTGGACTGCAAGGCGATCAAACCAGTCAGTCCTGAAGGAGATCAACCCTGACTGCTCTTTAGAAGGCCAGATACTGAAGCTGAAGCTCAAATACTCTGGCCACCTAATGAGAAGGAAGGACTCCCTGGAGAAGAGCCTGATGCTGGGAACAATAGCTGGCAAAAGGAGAAGGGGAGGGCAGAGGATGAGGTGGATGGATGGAGTCACTGAAGCAGCTGGTGTGAGCTTAAGTGGACTCCGGGGGATGGTGGAGGACAGGAAGGCCTGGAGGAGTGTGGTCCATGGGGTCGCAATGGGTCGGACATGACTTCGCGACTAACAACAACAACAGCCAGCATTGTGGAATGGCCTCTCCCACACAGTTGGCCTGCCCTTGCGGTCGTCTTGCTAACAAGGCAAGCCACGTGAGTTTCAACAACATTTTGGCTGCTCTTTTATTCTGTTGCTGATTTGGGAGGTTTGGTACTGTTATTCCCGTGAACACGGTTTGCCAGTTCTGTGAATGTGATTTTGAAAAATCTGTCTGAAAAGGGGGATTTTTTGAAAGAAAAATGGGATGAAATAATATTTTTTTGAAAAGCTGAAGGGAAGGAAGGGAGGCCAGGTTCTCAAGCAAGCATACTTGTATATATTCAGGCTTTTTCTCAGCCTTAACACCTGGGTCTCTTCTTTAGTATTCTGCCAGCACATTCAGAAGTGCCAAGAAGGAATGGGACCCCAAGAGGGGATTCCTGATCAGTTCACCGTCCTTTGAGTTCTTCAGTACCATAATCACGTGTGTTGCTACAGTTGGTGGAAATGAATACACGTCCCTTTACCTGTCACATACAGTAGGTGAGTGGCCTTTCCTTGTTACGCTTTGTTTTCCCCATGGTAAGATATTCCTTGCCAACCCTGACTCCAGTTATAGGCGTCAAATTGATTTCGATGCAATCCTGTGCACATTTAGACAGAACCAGATCTGCTAGCTGGGAATGCGAGGAGCTGTAGGACTACTTCCTGCCTGAGCATGCATAGGATTGTGCTATAAATCCCACCAATATCACTCAAAAATCTTTCCTTGCAACACCATTTGTCAGATGTTCTCCAGATATTCTTCAAAGATTCTGATCTTTGGCCAAATATTCACCCACTATTTGGAATCTGTGCTTGCCAGCCAACCTTGTTCAATCTGGGACAATTGATCTTCTGTTTCTTCCAGAGAGGGAAGTGTGGAATCTGACCTTGAGAGCAACTGCAGAGAAACTGCTGGTTGGAGAAAGCCTTCACCTGGAATGCCGAGCTGAGACAAAAGCTAACGGACGGATTTTATTTGCATGGGAATTTCCTGGAACGAAAGTGAGTCATTCAGACCTGTCCTTCAGATCACAGGCCATTGGGTGGCCTTGTAGCTCAGCATCAGCAGCGCAGATTGGTGGCAACTCCCCAGAGTTTCTCCCAGCCACAGCTGGAGATGCCAGGGATTCAACCAGGGGATGTCTGCTCTGCAGCCCCTCCTCGGGTCCTTTGAGGGCAGCCAAAGGCTTTTCCATTTGCCGATTCCTAGTCCTCTGTGGCCTCAATCCCTCAAGGGAACCAGAATCTGGCCCATTGTGCACAGAGGTTCAAATGCCCATGGTTGGCCTCACCAGTACAAACAAGGGGGTCCACACTTGTATGTTTTTTCTACAAGTTGAATGGTTATGTCTGCTCTCCTAAACATCCCGGGCAGAGAGCTTAAGCTGTGAGGTAGTAGAGAAATGAAATTGATGATGATAATGTGTGAGGAATCCATTTTGGGTGGAAAATCCACTGGATTCCTTGGAGTCAACTTCCTGGACTCTTATCTGTTGCAGTGGCCCAATTTCGAAGGCATCTGTCCTTGGAGAGGACTCCATATGCCCACCTCATGCTGCTCCTGAAACAGGAGGGAGCCGGAGGGGGCTGAGGATTCATCCTGATCGGCCCTTCATGCATGATTAGATGCAAGTTGTTTCAGTTAGAAAGCATTGTGCAATCTATTTGTGTTTCATGATTCCTCAGTAGGGGCACATTACTTTTCAACCTAGCTGGTCGTGGAATGCAAGGAGTTGCTTCCCCTCCCCACTTTTAAAAAAGCACATAGGTTTGCTCCTTTAGGGATTCTGAGCTCATCTCCTAATTTCATAACAAGTTCGTCTTCTGTCTGTCTCTCTGTCCTTCTTTAGCAATATACCCCGAAAAAGAAATTGGAAAAGGATAAGGTTAAGGATGGGATCATATGGAGAAGCTCAAGTAATATTACCATCCGGAATGTTACAATGGAAGATAAAGGCGTCTATGTTTGCAAAGTGACCAACGCAACGCAAGAACTGAAGCAGAATGTTACAGTCACCGTATACAGTAAGAATGACCTCTTCATATAATATCTAAGCAATGACAGAGCAGTCAGTTTGACGTGGAGGAAGCATCAGGACGGTTATGCACCCAAGGAGATCAGAACATGCAGCCAGCGATGTTGACCCGGATCACTGATCAGTCTAGACGTTTTCCTCTCTGCCCTCAGGAGCTCTGTAAAGCCAAAAGACTGACTTTTACCCATTTGCTATTATCCTTTACCCTTCACAGTATTGTGGCCATTTTGCCCCAGAACGGAAAATCTGCACCAGTGGCCAGTTGTTTGCCAGGCTCAGTCCAACAGGTATTGTTGGTACTGAACTGTAAAGCTCTAAATGGCTTCGTGCTGGGAAAGGATGGGAATTTTGTTTCTGTTCACAAATCATGTCAATCTGCTCCATTCACAAACACAATCAAGAGCAGAAATGCAATTCTAGTGAATTTTTGCAATTTCTGAAACATGGATTTGCATGCAAAATCTATCTATACTCATGCAAACAAGCAAATCCACATTTTTATGTTTTAACCTATGGTGGGGTGTATGTTTTTGTCTGGAAAAGTTGTATTTTTAAAATGAGCATGCTCTGATTGGGAAAAAAATGTGCATTAAAAATATATATCTGGGATTTACTCCTGCTCTTTTTTCTGTATTTAAGAGAGACCTTTCCTCAAAGTTTCCTACAAGAGAAATCCTTCTTACTGGGCTAATGAAGGACAGAAGATGCTGAAAATGGCTTGGAAGGTGGATGCTTTTCCTTACCCCAGTGTGACCTGGTAAGAATCAAGCAGGTACTTTAAACTGCCCACTGAGCTGAATTGCCCAGAAGAGGGCAAATACTGATACAGCAATCTAAGCGCACTTCTGTGTGTGTGTACTTAGAAATATGCCCCAGTGTGTTCCTGAATGGCTTTGCAAAACATTGCTGTGTTTAGTTCTGACTCACTGGTGGTGAGAGGAAGGTTCCAATTTCACCCCCTCTCCACAACCTGGACCAGCGTCACAGTGAGTGGGTGCAGACAGCACACTAACCAAGGGTTGTGTGTGGAGGTGTCATTACACTGTGGGTTGTTGCTGATCTGCGGATCTATCATGCTGACTGAGCCCAGATGCAATCACAAGCCATGAATACAACCCATGGTTGTTTACCATGGCTGGCTATCTTGGCTGGGTGCGTACAACATGGCAACCCATGTTTCAACGACAGCCAGTTTTTCAATGGGTTATCATTGTCTTGCCCTCTCTTGCTCTAGAACTTGTCCCACTTAGCACCCTGTTTTCCTAGGCTATCGAAGGGGATTTCCCATTGATATCTATGTGCATTACAGAGTCAAGGGTGAAGCCAGAAGAGCAGAAAAGATCTGAAAACTTCTTGTGTGTAAGAGCAGCTCAACTGTGCCTTACATTTGGCATGGCATTTACATTGTGTGGACCCATCATGTTGATTGGATCATCCTGTGGGACACCCCTCAGTGGCCCGGGTCAGCCTCCCTCAACCTGGCGCCCTCCATATGTTGAGGTTGCCAGTTTGAGAAATGCTGGTCTCCGATCCATTGTATAGCTGATTCATCACTCTGGTGGGTGCCAAAGCCAGCAATGAGGGGCAAGAAACATGCTACTTGATGGGAGTGATTCAGGCATCCTTCTAGAGATGCTTTCCACAACCTGCACCTGCCAGAAGTGGCCAACTAGAATTCCTATCCCCTTCCAGCTATACCATCTAGACCAGGGGTCTCAAACTCAACTTCCCTGGGGGCCGCTGGAAGGAGAGTCTGGGTGAGGCTGGGCCGCATCAAGTACTCCACCACCACGGCGGTGGTGGCCCCTCCCCTGTGCCCCAACCGTCCCGGCAATTGGCCCACGGGGCGCGGGTTTGAGACCCCTGATCTAGACTATGGTTGGCTGGGTGGGCAAATTGGGACCAGTTCTAGATCTGAGCTGAGTCTGAATGGCCAACAGCTCTACCGCTCTTATGGTGGGATTTCAATTCTTTTTTTGCTGCTCAAAATAGGTACAAGGATGGCAAGCCACTCATTCCAAACACGAACTGCTACAAAGCGGATCCCACAAAATACAAGCTTGTCATAAAGGATGTGAGAGCAGAGCATGCTGGGAATTACACCATAGAACTGAAGAACAGCATTCATGGACTCTATGAAAACTACACTATCCCATTGGTTGTGCGAGGTAAGCATCTGATACAGCTGAATAACTTCCCAGCGTATCCCTTTGCATCCGGTTTCCAAGGCCAGACAAAAATGACAAACATCTAGCTAAGGTCTTTGGGAAATGTCAGAAGTTGACAGATGGGTTGGAGAAAGTAGTTAGTGGGAGAACCAGCTTAGGTCAGGCTAACAACGAATGCTTTGTCTTGTTTTCTTTGGAGTTTTGCTTTTGCCCTCTCTCACAGTGTCCCACTAAGTTAACTTTCAGGTGCCTTCATGGTACGCTTGTTTTTAGCTGCTTTTGATGGGATGGCAGCTTCTCCAGTAGTTGGTAGTCCTTCCCTTGGGAAGCTGTTTGGACTGGACAGCACGCCAGTCCTGTGGAATACAGAGGTTGCCTTGCACTGAGTCAGACCCATGGCCCCCTCAAGCCCAGAATTGTCAGGACAGGCTGCCATTGTTTCTGTGGGACTTCAGGCAGGGTTTTTCCCATCCTCCTGGAATGCCAGGAACGGAACTTTAGACCTTCTGTATGCCAAGCAGGTGCTCCATCTTTGAGCCAGCTCTCTTCCTCCCCTGGCCTTTCTTGGAAGTTCGGGCAGTATAGAATTCACCTCTGCAAGAAGTAGCGATGGCCAACCATCTGGATGGCTTTAAAGGGGATTTGGATGAATCCATGGAGGAGAAGACCCCCCCATGTCTGCCAGTCCTGATGGCGCCATGTTATCTCCGCTCCCAGAGGCAGGCCTATACACACCAGCTGCTGGGGAACATGGGCAGGAGGGATCTGTGGCACTCATGCCATGCTCATGAGTTTCCTGTGGGCATCTGCTTGGCCACTGAGTGAATGAAGTGCTGGCCAGAGGGTGCTTATGCTGTTCTGTTACAACACCAGTCGGGTGCTTTTACTTCATTTATTTTTATGCATTAATTAATTTTTCTGAGATGGTTTGCAGGTCAGACACCCTCCCTAGATGTTCCATTTTGCCCCTGATGTGGGTCAACTGGGACCTTCCCGCTCAAAGAGGGCTGGCCCAGGGACGTTGATTTGGGCACAACCCAAAGAGGGCGCCCAGCTTTCGGCACCCCCAGTATCTATGAATCGTTATTCTGTGGGCCTGGCTGCGGCTCACCCCATTTTACTTGTGGGAGCTTGGAGCTCCTTTTCAATAGACGTGGCAGAGTGTGTGTGAGAAAGTGAGCACTGTAGGCTCATTAAAAGAGGGACAGATAGATAATGTTCTGAATTGAATTTAATAATCTCTGCCTTTGAAATGGTGGGATGAAAAGCTGCATTGTGTCTCTGCGGATGCACCATCTCTTCAGCAGGATTCTAATCCATTTAGCTGGTGTGGAGAGAATGTATCAATCCAATTCTGTGTCCCAATTTTCCACCTTTTGTAAAAAACTAAAAAAATAAAAAACCACCTCTTTTCTAATTTGATAAGCCAGTAAAATATCCCTGTAAAAAATATTCCACTCTTCTAGGCCACCTTTCCCAGCCCCTGTGCCTGCCAGCTTCACGTGGGTGTCAGGATGGCTGCACAGGCCTGGAGAGGGCGCTGCCTCAGTCCGGAGGGCCCAAGGCCTCTTGCTCCCTGAGGCTAAGAGAAGCTGCTTCCCCCCTTCCCTTCTGTGCACAAAAGCAGAATGGACTAACCAATCTGGTGATTTCCCAGTCCCCACCCCCCATGCCCAAAGGTTTACATGCTTAAACTACAATATCCCAGTTTTGGTACTTTGGCCCTTCCCGTTTTGCCCACAGCTCCATCCCGCAAACCTGCAGGGCACCAAGTCAGTTGTTGCAGCGATGCCGGGGCAAACTAAGGGATGGTGTTTGTTCAAAGCTGGATGGATTTTTGATCCTTGGTTTAGGGGTTATTTTTATACCAAGATATATCTCCCCTCCCTACTGGGTCTTCCTTGAAAAAACTTCTATTTGTCTAAAAATCCATTGTGTGTTCCATGAAATGAATGGGTTGAAGTTTATCATATATTCAGCAAAGGTATCCCCTATTTCTGACATACTTGGCATTCAAGGCGATTAGCAAAAATTTCCTATCACTGTAACAGAAAGATAACACAGCAATTATATCTGAAAACGGAGGTGCCCGAGTCCTGATTATACTAAAGCCAGCTCTTGGATAATTAGCAGCAGACAAACCAACACAGGCAGTCAAGTTACTCGCAAAAAAACCTAATAAACCAGAGAGGATTTTTCTGACAGCTGAAGATAATGCTGAAGGGGCTGGTGAGTCCGGTGTTGTGGGACACTTGAATGCAAACCCAGGGTTTCTCTAGCCCTTCACAGGCAGGGATACCTAGAGAAGGATCTCTGATGGCCCTCAGCTCTCAGGCAGGGCTGTTCCGCAGTCCTTGGGTCATGCTGGTAACACAGTCATCAAGGAAGAAGACTTGGTGATGCCAACCTTCTGCAGGAAGGCATCGAGCAGAAGAAAAGGGTTGACCTTGGTACAGAAACAGCTGCAGAAGGGGGTGTGCCTCTTCCAGGAATGCTGCGGGAATCATCCTTTTGGTTGCAGCTCTAGAGGAAACTGTTGCACAATGCTGAATTCCTGGAGCTGATTTTTTATTTTTTGGTTCGATGTGGATGCGCACCTCCCACTTCCATCCCAGTTGGGCTGCCACAGTGTTGGGACTGCACTCAAAATATACTGGGTGCAAAATGGAGACGCCTGTCCCTGAATGTATGTTGTGGAACCGGGGCTTCACGTCCCCAAGGACTGATGGCTCTGTCCTTCCTAGCTTCTGTGATAGTCCTGGGGAGCTCAGGGATGGGGCACAGCAGCAAGAACATGTGAAGAGGTTCTGATTGCACAGCAGCAAAGCCAGTGGTGAAGATGAGGACGAGGGTGTGTGTGCCCAGGTGGATACGCCTTTTTGGGCTGGCCTAACAAAGCTAGGACCCTTTCGTTGACTCCCCAGGCTCTGCCCTCACAACTTGTCTGGCTATTTGTCCAGCTGTAATTGTCTAGCAGAGCAAATTCCTGTAGCCCCTGGAGAGCATCCAGAGGGCCAAAATACTCTTCAGACACTAGCAAATACTGGCGTACATTGCATTCCAGTAGCCATTTGCTTCTGCTTCTGCTTGTCCGCTGTTGTATAGTGGCCATGTGTCCTCTTTCCCAGAGGACAGTCCTCTCTTTGGAGGACTGCCAGAGGACTGCCCTCCAGTTGATGTGGCCCCTATTAGAAAGACTCTCCTGTCCAATCCCAGCCTCAGGATCAAGAACAGGAAGCACTGCTCACACGGGGTGCGGGCCAAGATCTCCCTCGGTCAGCCTTCCACACTAGGGCAAGATGGGCTGCATCTCTGTCTGAACTGCAAGGGACATGCGCATCTATTCATCTCTATCAGCCTGTGCAAACATTGTGCAGACTGCCCTCAGCTTCTCCTGCTTCGGCCACCCTGTTGGTCCAAGAGTCCCCATTGCCAGAGAACTTGTAATGCGTACCGGACTTAGCCGTGCCTTCAGCCCCGGTGCACTGCTGCCCTCTCCGTGCCTCGTGAACCATCCAAGCGTTCCCAGAGCAAGCACATGTCTGGTGTCCTGAAGTCACCTGTGAATGACACAAGAAGGTGCCAGGCAGCAGTGACCCTTCCTGCCTAACCTGCAGGCCACTTGGAACCGCACGGTTTTCCATGCAGAGAGGCGTCCCTGGGCCTGGGCCACCCAGGTTCCAAGCCCACTGCAGAGACAGATGGAATCCCGCCTGGATAGAGCAACATAACCCTCTTGCTGGCTTCCCATGTAGGATTCTTGATTTTTCAGGAGGTAGCTGATCACTTAAAAACAAAAAATAACAACCATGCTTCCTTTACATATTTGCACATCAAGGGCTCTCCAAGAAGCTGGAGGGTTGCCGTGTGTTTGTTTTGTTGGATTAAATTCTCATCCAGAGCCAAAGCTGCAACAGGCAAATGTCTCGAAGAATTTCAGAGGGCTGTGGAGAGAGCAAAGGCTGACCTTAACAAGCAGCTGGCGAATGCGCATCCTGGCGAGCCAAGAACGAAAAACGTGGGAGAAAAAAGTTATTCCAGGCTTGAGTACAAAGGGAGGGGGGTTGAACTCTGCTTGTGATCAAGCGAGGGTATTTTTCATTCGCACCCTAAAACAAATAAACTGAATTCACCGGGTCTTTTCAAGAGGCTTTTATGCAACAGCAGTATTTCTGTTTCAGCTAGCTGGAAAACATACTGAGCGATATTACTAAAAAGAAGCAAACACACTGTGGCCATTTTGCTGCCTTGTCGAATTCCTTGTATTCACTCCAACGCTGAGCCAAATTTGCCCAAGAAATATAGCATACCATATTTAACAAGGTGCGACAGCCAATGTGCCGTGCATGGAGCATTTCACAGTATCTGAGACCCAACTTGCAACAGAATTTAGTAAACTTTTTCCTGACTTCATTCACCAGTCAGGAGAGATTCCTTTGAAGAGACACTTACCACAGCTTGAGAATTGTAGGAGATTTTTTCTGGCTAAACTTGCAAGGACTATGTCCTTATCAGACCCTCTGCAGTAAGAAAAAAAAGATGGAAGAAGTTGTGGGGAAAGAAGGGAAGGTTAAGAATGAACAAGAGCGATGCCTGGATCCCTGTAAAATTCCAGGATGACACACTGAAAGCTGTGCCTGGAAACATCTGGGGGTTCAATTTCTTGAGTCCAGGATGCAAATTTTGATCTAGGCTGGGCAGGGGGGAGCAGGGAGGAGTTTAAAAACCAAACCCAAGTCATGAAATGTGAATGCACATCATGTTTTATTATTTTAAATGCTGTGTTGATGATTCTTTGCTATTTTCCTGTGTTCATTCCACAGCCTTATTAATTTCAGGTTTTGCAATTAATGATCAAACTTTTTCTTACAAAACAAACCTAACGATGCTAGTTTGGCATGAGTCCACAGAGCTCACTGCAGCTTGCTTCTGTACTGATATACTATATAGAGAGTTATACTATTAGTATTTTTCCTTCTACTTATTAGAGATTAAGTACA